TGGGTCATAGCTCTCAAAACTATTTGTGGGAGAGACCTGGACTTTTTCATTAATAACATAAACAAGACAAACAGGGGTGTTCACTGTTTTACGATGTACTGAGATGTCTATAAGGGAGAGCACACCGGCTTGAAAGTTCTTCAGAGAATTAGCACCTCTCAACTTTGGGAAGAATTTCCACGACAACGACACCATCCACTCGACTATCAACTTTACATGGCAAACTAGCTTGCCTGCGCTATATTAATTTTCTTAAAAATTCATATACCAAACTTTAATGGCATATAAACCAGTAAACACAGTGTGTATGCACCAGTGCCTACAGGCAAACATATATAGGTATAGTATATTGGTAACAACACTTTTTTGGGGTGACGGTAGTCTAGCAGTTACCTTTATTGCATAATATTCCCTTTTAATTATTGACAACCGCTTTGTCCCTAAGCCATAGTACCGGAGGTGATGAAAGTACATCACAAAGTTGGCCTACTGTAGTACAGAATCACTGAATCTCCAACAGCTGTTGTTCTGTAAACCTACAGTGACTGGGCCCAACAAGATTGAAGCACAATCCAAACAGTGGCCCACGCCCTCCCTTGAGCCCGGAGCACATTCCCAAGAGTTGAGAAAATGTTTTTATTTAATGCGGCGGACACCCATGCTGACTTTTATACACACGATTATGGGAGATTCGCAGTTTTATTAGTAGTTATGCCTCCAAGCTGCCTGATTTAATATTTTGTTTAAAAAAAAAGAAAAAAGTATTTTTTTAGCACTTTGAGCACAAATGCCATTTAGTTCCATATTTGTCCAAAACTTGACAAATCATACCAAGACTAAATGGATAAACAGCATTATAAGAGGAAAAACATGTTTCTTTATTTTGGGGTGAACTGTGCCTTTAACAGTTGCATTAGTCACTTCTAAAGTGCCTATTACCAGCAGGGTCTATTCATCTTATGTAGGAACAAAAGATACACCAGCAATAGTTTACACTGAAAAAATAAAGACATATACTCTTTATTGTTAGGTCTCTTTACGTCTCCCTGAATGAGTTATTTTATCTAAGTTTACATTCAGAGGACAACAGATAGAAATAAGAATATTCCAGGCAAACACATTTACAGAGTTCCTGCACACTGAGGACAACATGAAACAACTAAACAAACTGATCTGCACAATATTTCGGTTGACCATCCAACAAGGTTAAAACATTTGACCGATATCTGTTGACTCATTCAGACCACAGAGAATATGCACAGTCCTGCATCACACCTGAGAAAATGTACCTCACACATCAGTAAACTATGAGTTAGTGCTCTGATGGGTATCCCATATGGGGAATCCCAAACCCAGCCCTTATTTTAACAATCCCAGAGTACACACACACTCCAGTCTAAACATCCTCTGTGAGTCACAGCTCTGCTTCGCCAAACCACCCCTTCTCCCATCACACGTGGGAACTGTGGACATACTTGTTTATGTAGCACTAATGTTAGATGTACCACTTAGCAGGGGAAACTTGCTGAGACCTTGTAATAAAAAATAAACTTCTGTAGGCATTTAGGACTGTGCCTCACATTCCTATAGTTTCAGCTGCGCAAACTAATGATGGAAAATGGCACAAGAGGCTTAAATGTATGGGCTACAATAACGTTAACATCAACTGTCATGTATCCGTATTTTAAACTGATAAAAGGCCAATTGGCTGTTAACCACACAACACAATTAAAAGGCTGAAAAGCAGGTTAAGTTTGCACCAGCTAACATTAGCTCTACTGTGTATTATTATTGTTTTTTTTTTTTTACAATGGCAGCTAAAGCTAACTATCAGTGCTATCCAACATAACATCAGACTTTTTTTAATCTCCTCGTTGATTTGCTAACCAACCTGCCAGAGTTAACGTTAACAAGTTGAACAAAATAAAGAAAGAAAGAAATAAAACAGCTCCTCTAACAAAGCACCAAGGCTACCAATATTAGCTCAAGCTAACTAGCAAGCTACCGGCTAACGTTAGCTGTCAGCGACCCTGCTAACTGCGAGGGGCTGCTGGCTCTCTCTCTCTCTCTCTCTCTCTGTGTGCTTCACTGTGTGCTTACCTGGGTATGGTTATGCATTTGGTGTTGACATTCTGCGTTGTGATGGCTTTCTCCAACTCGTCCAACTGTCCCGTCTTCTTCAACTTCTTCACCAGACTTTTGACAGCCTTTTCGCACCATTTCTCCTCCTGCCCGTTCTGCTCTCCCTTCTTCCAGCCGAGGAGCCTCTTCACGATGGGAGGAGTGAACGGCAATATGGACATTATTGAACCGCAGCTGGAAACTATGTATCACAGAGCTGTGGCAACGGCACAGTTTGTCGTTTCTATAATAACGACTAATTCAGCTAGATAGCTCAGCTAGCTAAACTCCCATAGAGACGAGTGGCTGCCGGTGGACTTAGGGGGGCGGGGAGGATGATGAT